TTTTTTTTTTTTTTTTTTACAATTTCCAATTTATTTTCAAAATATATAAAAATAGATTTGATTTTTATACATGAACTGTACACTATTTATAAAAATAAAAAATAATATCATGTAAAATTAAATAATAATTTAAGAACATAATATTTTTGAAAATATTTGTATTTAATCATAATAATTAATATAGTTTATAAAATGTATTTTGTAAGGTATTTATGCTTATAAATATAAACAAATTATTAATATTATTACGACCTTGCCCACGCCCCGTCTAATCCCCACCTAGGCTCTAGGCTCCAGTCCGCCACCTAGCGAGCGCCTAGAGCGTTATATAAATTTGTTATATAGCAAAACATCATCTTCATTCACTATAGTCACACAAGTTGAGAAATATATACTAATAAGCCAAAAAAACTAAGTAAAAAGATTTCAGTATCTGTCAGAATCCAGAAAATAACATATGAAAACATGGTTTCAACATGCTTTTCATTTTATTGCACCTCATACCAGGCATCCACGGGTAATCATCAAACAAGAACGCCAAAAGACACGACAGGCCTCCATATAATTTGAGGATAATAATCACCATATTGTGTTGAAATGTGGTTGATAATTTAGAACGAAAATAAGCTGGAAAATATGATCTTAACACACAAATTAAATAAGTAATTACCATTAACTCTTTATTTTGTCCTTGCAGCACCCGACACAATGATTCAAGTTTATCTCTAACGGCAACAGCTATAGAGGAGAGGAATACATAGATAAGCAGATAAAATCGATGTCTCCAGCACAAGTACTAAGAGGTATATTCTCATTGAAAGAAATAAATATCTGAGTAAATAGTTACAAAACACCCAGACTTTTTAAATTCAGTTCAGCAACAATTGTGTAACTATATATTGCTATAAGCCACATTAGGAAGCATGTGGTGAGATTGTATTATTCTCGTATTTTCAAAACATAAAATCTGAAAGCTTACAGAAACAGAAATAGGTTGAACTACAAAACTGAGAGCATGTTTGGATATGAAAAATTTTGGTTTTGTTGGATTTTTTGGTTTGGTTTGGTTAATTTTGAAAAATGTAGTATGGTTAATTGTTAGTGGGTATATTAAAATAATATTTAAAATAAAATAATTAAAATTTGATGTGATTGTTAGTTAAAATAATGTGAGTGGATGAATAGTGAATTAAGTTTGATGTGATGTGTATAAATGATTGGTTGGTATTATTTTATTATATTGATAATATTGATGATAGTGGGATTGAAATAAAGTTGAGTTAAAAAAAGTGGTTGAGTTAAAATGTTGAAACTTTTTGTGAGAATTTTTGTATACAAACTGCTCTGACATTCAGAAAAGTATAATGTAAACTACACGTATGCAAACTGACAGCATGAAATAAAAATCACCAACCCGAATCTCTTTCAGCAATGACTTGTTGATACTTCAGAGTGAACTCCAAAAATTCCTTCTCTGATTTGAAGGTACGTTTTACATTTTTACGCTTCACTTCAGAAGAATCCTGACAAATGCATCGAAGATGAGAGGTACCAAATGATTCAGATTACTAGATAGGAAAACATGGAATAGCAGAATATCAAATTATAAATTTGATGAGATGTTCAAACTACAGTAAACTTTCATAAAAGGGTACACAAGACTGACTAGAAAATTAAGGTCAAAACAATTCCAATCCAATTGATAAATGGGCTTGGGTATATATCATCCCCACAAAGCTAGCTCAAAGGGAGAGGGTGCCCAACCCACACTTAAACACAATAACGGCCCAGCACCTAATCGATGTGGGGCAAACATAACTTCTAACACCCACCCTCACTAAACCAAATGGGTTGGGTCCAAATACAACATCGCCAAACAAACAAGGCTTTGATACCATGATACATGAGCTTGGGTAGATCTCAAAGGGAGCTAGCTCAAAGGGAGAGGGTGCCCGGCCCAAAATTATGTACAATAACAACCCAGTACCTAATCAATGTGGGACAAACACAACTTATAACACCAACTTTGTTTCAGAACATAAAGCAAAAAGCTGCATTAAAACGAGTATCAAGCGTAAATAGTATAGAGTTCCGATTTCATTTCTAGACAGGGATTTACAATATACTTTTTTGTTGTTTTCAGCAGTTCCTGTTGCAGAAATCTCCTCCAACACTACCTTTTGCGACTCTGTGCATCCAACAGCTGAAAAAAAAAAAGAGCAAAAATAAGGTGAAGAAATTGACAAGCTACAAAAATTAGCAAAAGATGTCTCAAGCACAGAGTTTGTTGTAAGCATGCAGCTCCAACTCAAAGGCAAACACTTGCTGCTTACATAAAAAGAATTCAGAACTAAAGATGTTCATTACAAGGATCACAAATCAAACTAAAACCCAAAAAGACGATACATGGTACGCAAAATTAGCTCTTGCACCAAATGTCTGCATACCATTGGAACAACTGAGAAATCTTTTTTGACAAGATGCACAAAAGAAAAGTACACTCACGCCTTTCCAAAATTATATAATCACAAATATACAACGCAAATATAATAACAAAAACATAAGAACTAATTAACATAAGTGACAACCACAAACAAGAAAATATATATTTCACCACAAATCCACAATGTCCTCAAAACACAGTCAAAACAGATGTAATTTCATTTCATCCACATAACTTCCAAAAATATATTTCCTATATACGTTTCGCCATAAAATGATTCCAAGCCATTTTGCATATTTTTTTTTTTCCTTTAGTAAGTTCTAAAATCCCCAGACATATCCTATCCCCCTGGTGACTTTGCCATTTCTGTTGAGATATTAATTTCATACACAGAGGAAGAAAGAATTTGGTGATATTCAATCTAAAAAAGGAAATAAAATGAAAAGGAACATGAGAGGAACAAATTAACTAATTTAGAAAGAAGAGCCTCTTCCAGTCCAAACTATATTTCATGTATAGGCACTTACTTATATCTTCTTCCCATAATTTTCTACTTTCCAAGCATTTGATTTTAAATGTGAAAATGGAAGTTAAAAAGAAACCCCATTTGAAGTCAGTAATCATTAGCAAGCAACATGGAGCTAACAAGTTATGTGTAAACATCAAAAAACATCTGCTTGCATTGCATCAACTTCATCTTCTCCATGATGTCGACGTCTTTTCGTGTTAATCAGTCTTCCCATTTCTAATCAATGTCAAGATGTAGATGCAGAAATTCCAACAATGTCTCACTTCCACTATATTTGTTCAATATCCTATCTTCTCTCACCACTATCAAACTCACTTATTAAGAATCAAAAAGCTGCAACACTTGAAACTCCAATCAAAGATGTCAAACAAAAGAAAATGTTTATTTACATTTGTCTTTAACATTTCCTTCAGCAGAAGCAGCTCCAGCAACTGATGCAACCGCAAATTGACTCTGATCGTCCACTAATTTTACCAGAGACGAACCGCCATCTTCAACCACAACTTCAGGCTTCCAACCGGCCTCAAGTAATTTCTCCTCCTTATAATCATCCACCGCCTCCTTCTCCAGTGGCGCCGCAGAGGAGGATTCGACAAACCCGTCCGGCAAAGAGGCGGCTTCTGGAAGCTGATTCACTTCCGGGTTCGGGCTAAACTCCGGGCTCTCCATTTCTTTCACCTGCATATTGCGAAAGGATTCAAACAAACATGTTTTCACTTGCGCGCTCTAAACATATGAATATGATGAAGATAACCGAAACCCTAGCAAACATATTTATGCATTTCCATAAGCGTATATATGAACCTACATACGTGTTGCTGTATACCAGATTTGAACGAAAGGATTTCGATGGTAATGGGTAGAGCGGAGAGGACTGGC